GCAAGTAATATCATTGGCATTGTCATTCTCTGTAGATTTACTGTTCAGAAAATGTTAAAAATCATTCTTAACACTAAGACTTTTCTTCCAACAGGCATAAGTGACCATAGCCATTTTTGATGCAACTTTTTTAATGATTGGTTTATAATGCTCTTCGACAACGTTATTGAGTTGGTATACCAATTTATTTGAGTCAAGCACTTGTTAATTTTATTCAGACCAAACGTGCATCTGACTTACTTAATTATACGCCTGAGAAATATCTTTTGATATTTTTTCCATTGCAAAAATAAAATAAAATGCCTATGTATTAATCATATTTAAATGTTCAATAGAATCCCCTTTGCATTAACATGGATCTGTATTTGATAGATAAAAACTGTTTTACAATCATTCCCTATTGTCATTATATATATATATATTCAATCCCATGTTGTTTTTTTTTTTTGGAATAGCATGACCATGACATTAACAAGTACTAAAAATCAATTAAACAAATTTTCATTTCTGTTTACATTTACGGTGAGGAATTCAACACACGTGTCAATATGAAAATAAGAAGATGTGGTATAATTGTCTATGAGACAACTCTTCACCAGATACCAAATGACATAGACGTTAACATCTACAGGTCACCGTACGGCCTTCAACAATGAGCAAAACCCATACTGCATAGTCAGCTATAAAAGGCCCTGAAATGACAAATGTGAAACAATTCAAACGAGAAAAACTAACGGCCTCGTTTATATAAAACTGATGAACGAAATACAAATATGATATGCAGCAACAAACGACAACCACTGAATTTCAGGCTTCTGACATATCCACTTTACCTCTACAAAAAGACTCGTCAAAGATTCCAAGCATATAATTTAGTACGTCAGAGGCGCGGTTCGTCTTCATAAGACTCATCAGTGGCGCTCCAGTCTAAACAATCGGAAGGCCCAATCAAATACGAAGTAAAGAGCACTAAAATCCAAAAAGTTGTGCTTAATAAAGGCAACAGTAGTATACCGGTGTTCGAAAACTCATAAATCGATAGAGATAAAAACAAATCCGGGTTACAAACTAAAACTGAGGGAAACGCATCAAATATAAGAGGAGAACAACGACACAACAAAAACACAACATTAAAATACGGATAAGGCAATCTATATCTATGGTAAAAAAAGACTAGCGTTTCAAAGGATTTTTATAGTAAGATTTTGCTTTTGTTATTTTCATGATACCAAACGTTGAAGAAAGGAGGCATTTTCCTTCGCAGAGAATGCGTAAACAATTGCCATATGCTGCCTCACAAAATGATCCCTCATACTGCATGACTTACGAGGAAATAAGTCATACAGGTCTTCAAGCTGAAATAGAAGTTCACGGAGAAAGGGTAGGCTAAGACATCATTAAATACACAGTTGAATCTGTTAACATAAAATGTACTTTCTATGAACAACTAGCAAATGATACGTAACTTGCCAAAAAATCTAATACAGAATATGTCGGCTTCTTTGATAAACTTACAAAAGAAGTTATTCGGAGTATAAAACCACCATTCCGATTATGTTGAATACAACCAATGACTGTGTGTAAATAAGATTTCTTAAACAGAACAAAATTCTTTCATTACAAGATAGCCAGAATATATTATGCCTTTATGGCATGTATATGCGTTTCTGTGTTGGGTGTTCCTGGATAGTTTAATTCCAATCATGTCGCTACATTTTGCTGTGTTATTCTTATCGCTCATTCTTGGTTCATCAAGAATGTAAAACATACATTTCAAGGATGTAAACAAGATTATTTTTCTAGGAATGTCCTTTTTCTCTTAGTGGACACCGAATTAATAATTGATTTTCTTATCACAGTAGTAGGATTTTGGAAATGAATATTCTGTCTGAATGAGAACTAAAAAAAACAATCTTGCCCAGGATGAAAAAGAATACTTTGCTGCATTTCTGGTTGGTGTGTTTTGTTTGCAGCTTGGTCGCTGTGTCATTTAAATATGATATTTAAAAAGAAAAAGAACAAGATGCAAAAATCAATTACTGTCTCGACTTCCCTTCGAGGTAAACCTAAACAGCACTTGCAAGTTATCATAAAGATATATGATTGGACTACCAATTTAACGGTTTCAGCGCGATTTATTTTGTTTATTCCTTAGCTTTCTTTGTTATGTTTTGTGAACTATCGTCGATCCTATTTTGTTTTTCTAAATTCTGGCCTTATGATTTTTCTTTGATTTATCGCTTTTATTGTCCCTTCGTGTCTTCTTACTTTCATCAGATATGAAATTGTTGCTAGAAGCGTTCTTCTACATTAGCAGAGGGCAATTTAACGGATGTCGCAAGGGATCCAATCAATTGTTCCTGTTTTTAACTCGTTCGTGTAATTTTTTTTTTTCTTATTTTATTTATGTTTATTACTAACGGGGTTAATTCTGATTTATAAATGTTTTAATCGCCCTAGATTTCCGACATAATACAAAGAGGGAAAAAAAGACGCAATTCCGTTGTACAAAACAACTTCCCTCCGACGGAATTGTTATTTCTGGATCAAACGTTATAAAATCCGCTAATTTGTCAACTTACTTTCACAGTCTGCTGACCAGCTGAATCATACACATAAGGTAGGTAACTTTGTCAAAGTAAATTGTATCAATGTATGTAAACGTCGAAATCATAATAATCAAAACGTGATAACCTTATGTCTTACCAATTCAAAAAATCAACCCTTAAACACTAACTAAACATGCAGATTTTCAAAGAACAGCTGCTAAATTTATCAATGGGCATCATAAATGAATAACACTCTAGCAGTGGAGTCAAATCTGTCCTGATTTTATAGCAGTGATGCTTTCAAACCAAAATAAAAATAATGTGCTGTTTTTACCCGTACTTCAATATATTTTTCGGCTAGATATTTAGAAATTTCTTATTTGATACTACCCTAAAGTTTACTGTGTTAATATTTCATATTCTTTGCGCTTCCCTTTTTCATTGCATACCTTTTCATATTCATGGCAATGATGTAACAACTCTTTCCATTTCAGATCAGTATCTACGTTCCTTTAAATCCAATATGAAGGTAGCAATTATTCTGGCTATTGCTCTTGTAGTGATTCTTGCAGGTATGTACCTAATTGTGTTACTGTAATTTAAAGGCATATTAAATGTTTAAAAAGCTGAGTGAAATCTTATGTCTTTGCTGCGTTTGCTCACTCAATCTTATAACAAAAAGAGACGAAAGGTCTCAAGGATCAATGAAATATCACAAGAAGAAGAAAAACAGACAATATCATGGTAAATAATGATTAACGATATAATGGCAAATAAAAGTCTACAAAACATTACGTAAAAAACTAAAGACTAAGCAACACGAACCTCACCAAAAACCGGGGGTTTTCACATGTCGTAGGGAAGGGTAAGCAGATCCTGCTCCACATGTTGTGCTCATCGTGTTGTTCATGGTAAGTACAAATTCAGTTAAAAGTCTCATTTGAGTTATCACAATCGAGGAAAACAGGACAACTTGTCGCTCCGATAATGAACGTTTAACTCGAGAGGTTGCAAAATTAGCTTTTATGAAATTTACAAATCAGTTATGACCAGTTTTCCTTATTATTATTTCATGCGCTAGATTACGTGGCCTTCAATAAATCTCTATATCCTATTCATGTTTACAAAAATTTCCAGTAAAGTTGCTCTATATTTCTGGCTATTTGTTCAATGAGCAAATGGTTCAAAACTGCATTTGATTAATTATACCGTATTAAAAATTCCATCTCGAAAATAAATAAGGAGAATATTTTAAACCTGCACCAATTTTCTGTCGGAAATATAGCCATGATTTATGATTTTGTCCATTTTACGTTCATGGTGTCAAAATCATGACCAAAACGTTTACTACTGAAAAAAACCAATTAATTTGACGTGAGTGAAGAAATGAATGTATGTTAACTAAAATGTAAGACTATGGAAACCAATGTTTTAATCTCAGCGAGTGAAACAAAGTATTAGGTTTAAACTATTAGTATTGGGTCAAAAGATACATGTGTTACTTGATAGAATTAAGCCATATTTGGTCATAGATATTCCCATTTCAAGTTTGTGATATTTTTTTTGTTGTCAGTATTATTTTTTCAATGACAAAAAATTAAATATTTTGTGCTGAGTAAATGCCAAGAGAAAAGTTATGGCGTTGATATACATGAGACAACGATTCCGTGAATATTAGCAAATAACCTATACCTATTAAAGCTATCGCGCTCTTATTGATTACATCTATGCCCTTTTGTTTTAGTTCACGAGGCAGAGTCTGTAAGTTGTGCTTTATTATGTAAAGCCCATTGCAGAGCAAGACGCTGTAGATATTTTATGTCAGTCCTCTATCATGGGCGTTGCTACTGCAGATGTCTTCTTTGCGCCAGTGAGCATACCATGAAATTACCTATAAATGAAGGGTATGTTGCAATTAAAATAATAATAAATCGATTATTTTATGGCTGCCTTATGTATTGTGGTAAATATTCTATTTATACATCAGTTAACAGGATTTGAAAGTAATGTTGATTAGTAAATTTTGGTTTGGTAACAACGTATTAAGTACGGAACAACTCGTTTACATGTATAGAGTGAGGCCTTCTCAAAACATATGCAGTGGATTTAACATCCTTTATTAGTCCAAACGAGTCTGAGTGTTTAATTATTACGTACATTTAAAAGACACAATGAAAGATTCATTTATTTTACATTTTTGCATCAGATAAAAACAATTTTTATTCTTGGTCATTTTCCCATCTCCCCTGAACTTGCCTTACAATAGTAGCTATGTCAGTAAAACCTGTCGGTTGACAATATTCTTGACAACAGTTAGAAGCACTTAAGGACTATCATCAAACCTGTAATTTCTACTTCGATCAACTTCCTAGACATAATGTAAAAAGTAAAAAAAACGTATCTTCAGTTATTTCCTTCCTACCTTTGTTTATTCCTTTATTTCATTTTCAGATCATCTCCAACTGAGATGTTTCCACAGATGATTGACAATGAGAACACTGACCTCTTCCAGGACATCCAAAAAGGAGAAACCGAACACATCCAGAAAGGAGAAACCGAACAAGGAGAAACTGACATGTAAAGAGACGGTCCAATGAAGTGATGATGAACTGTTCTGTTTTTACTTTATATAGTTCTACTTTTTATTTAGTTCTAATATTTTAGAGATGTCTTTAATTTCTGTTACTGTAGTTCTAAAGCAGTAAATACTTAAATAGAACTGTGTTCCAATGGGTACAATATATAGTTAGTGACATAGAAGCTTACATGGAGAGAGTATATTCCATAAATAACAATTGCCTCTGCTTATATTCCAAGGTATCTAATTAAATGGTGACATAGTTGGTGCCCGTGATAATCCATCCTGAAGGCTAACTCACCTGTGTAATGCCTAGCTTGTTTTCGTTTTTTCTTTTCCTTTTGTGAATTAAATAATCGTGACCTGCATGAGACAAAAACCCAACACTACAAAAAACATATGGCCTTCAACAATATCAAGGTTTAATCGACCAGAGTATAAAAAAATTCAATAAATTTAACAGGTACTTAGATCAGCTGTTAATGACAAATTCTCAATCTGGCAAAACATACGATATAGGCTAAACATGTGGCGGAGCTATACTAGGTTTTTTTTTATCTCTCAATCCCCGTTTTTAATCTCGATCATTGAATTAACAAAAGGTACACAAAAGAACGCACGGGAAAAATCAGTACAGGTAAAGCAATCATCTCTTTACAGTCAATTTCCTAATGCATGCAGAGTAAGAGTTTGGTTGGCTTGCTTGTCTTGCTTGTTTTGTTTGTAGTAATGTTTGCTCAAGCATTTTAATTAAGATAGACATCTGCAAACAATATAAGTAGGCGGAGTTATACCTGTATATAGGTAAATTTGATTATTTGATAGTGTCCAATCAAATTTAAGTATAAAGTATACAAGTTTAACTCTGCCTTTATTAATTGTTTTCAGATGTCAATCTTAATTGCAATGTTTGAGCAAACATTACTACAAACAAAGCAAGCAAGCCAACCAAACCTTTAACTTTCTAGCATTATGATAACAGATGTAATACTGATATAAAAGCTAAAATTAGTACAATAAAAACAATGATAAAGAGCACCGTATCAAAGAAAGCCATCAAAGTATTTAACCTGTTGATATGTAGTCATGTCGTCTTACATACAGTCTTATATATGTGGAGGTACTCCCATGTAGGTTTCGTAAAGCAACGTCTTTAACAGTACATACAGACACGATCGCGTGCAATGCTCAAAATAGATTTGTAGTGAGTTTCAAGTCAGAAAAAAAAAGGATGGATAGATGGCTGTTCAAAGTCCAATGTTAAATGCATATTCAGGAAAAATAAAAGCAACATATTAGTTAGAATGAATTGGTCTGCATTCCCTAAAAATACTATATGCGATGATTGAACAACAGTAGTATAACTATAGCATTTATCAATAAGAAAGTTCACGTACACTTGTTTTATAATAGTAAAACTTAGCCATTTTCTTTTTAAATTTGAAGTTTCATATAACTTTAAAGGCCAAAAAGAAATACTCTAAAAAAGACAATTCCAAAACGTGTTAATTTACAGTTACTGCACATGTATAACGCGGTGTGTGAATACCAATCTGTATAAAGTCCAGCAGATGGAATTATACCTCCACATTAAATCTCTTTGATTTTTATAAAATTAAGTAAAAGTTTTACTGATCGTACATGAATATCATTTTTAGTTTATTCAAAAAATGCGTGTATATCTGTTATACTTAACACAATCATGTTCTCTGTTTGGTTGTGTGAATTAATGTTTTAATCGAGTCACTCTGAGGAAACGAAGGACCTCAACATTCTATTTCTCATCTTTCCAGATGATGAGCTTCTAGTTTTTTGATAAAATTGAGATAGTGGAAAACTCTATTTAAGCAGCTAAGGTTTCAATAAAATAATGGTTTACGTCTATTGACAATATAATGCCTCTTAATTTCGATCTCATAATGTATCCAATTCTTTATGGTTTTTAGGTTTTTTTTAAAGTTGTTTTTGTTAAGCAAGCAGATGTTCAACTACAATTCATTATTTCGCTACAATACGGCGCTTTCGCTTGGTCACAGATAACACACGGATACGTTCAATGGTTGCATTTGTCGTAGTCACTTTCTCGTCCTCCCTTCCTCGTTTATGGCTTACCACCAAGTGCGACTAATCACCGAACTTGTATTTGTTCAAGCTGACTATGGTACAGGAACTGCTTACCATTTCGTATTACTCGGGCGGTTCACCACAATTTTTACCCAAAGAGTTGGCTATGGCATGGAAATAGAATCTCATAGACCTCGTCCGTTCAGCAGTAAAAATCACCTGTAAATGTATTATCTCAGTAAACTTATAACCCATGCTGAGAGATCCGTTTGTTTGTGTCGGTTGATTTTTTGTACAAATATCCTCACATAGTGGTTTGTATACTGTTTGTTGTCTTTTCGTCTGTTTCTTAAGGCTTTGGTGTTGTCGGCCTTTTCTTCGTTATATGATTGTGTACATTGTGACTGAATAATAGTTTATTGTCGAGTGACGTTACGCACGCTTTTGCGTCTCAAATGGTAACGTCATTTTTTTACGTTTTACGGCGATTAATGATTATCATGATTATATTGGGGATATTTTTTTTATTTCGCTTGCAATTTCTGTTTTGCACATCAATATTGATACTTCTTAATGTTTGGTTGTACTGAATATGCATGAAATATTTCCCACTGAAAGTAACGTAAGCAACAAACAACAAAATATATCATATTTGGGTAATGCATAAGTCTATATGAAAAAGAAGATATATACGGTATGATGAGTGCCAATGAGACAACTCTCTACCAGAGACCAATTGACATAAAACGTAATAAAATGCAATGTTTCCCCATTTTGATCCGAAAAGGAAGAAGATATATATTTTGATTTAATTAAAAAATGTTTGTCGGGAATTACAAGTTAAACGGGTCTTGCTTATAAAATTCACTTTACTTTCTTTAATAACGGAACAATTAGATTAAGAGATGAAACGATTGTCAGAAAAAAGGTTAATTCTATTCCTCTCATATGTTTACAAGCCTTGTATGATATGGATAGGTATATAGCCACGCTTCAGGTCCAATTTTATTTTTACTTTCAAGTTCTATAAATATGAATCTTATTGCAGAGAAATAAAAAAAATCGCAGTTTTACGCTCCCCAAATTTGAAAATTTGAAAAAGATTATTTTTTATCCTCTCGTAATACACAATTTTTTCACAACTAAAGAACCTCATCTAAACGAACAACCGCAGCCATCGGATTTTTTGTCGAGCCTGCGACTTTTGTCGCAGAAAGCTCGACATAGGGATAGTGATCCGGCGGTGGCGGCTGCGGCGTTAGCTAACTTCTTAAAAGCTTTTTATTTTAGAAGCTAGAAGACCTGGATGCTTCATACTTTGTATATAGATGCCTTATGTTACGAAGTTTCCGTCTGTCATATGTTCATTGTCCTTGACCTCATTTTCATGGTTCAGTGACTACTTGAATATGTAATGTTAATTTCTTTCTTATTATGAGTAATAGGATAACTATATTTAGTATGTGCGTACCTTGCAAGGTCCTCGTGCCCGCCAGACAATTTTCATTTGACCTCGACCTCATTTCATTGATCAGTGAACAAGGTTAAGTTTTCGTGGTCAAGTCCATATATCAGATACTATAAGCAGTAGGTCTACTATATTTGGTATATGGAATGATTGTAAGGTGTACATGTCCAACTGGTAGGTGTCATCTGACCTTGACCTCATTTTCATGGTTCAGTGGTCAAAGTTAAGTTTTTGAGTTTTGGTCTTTTTTTCTAATACTATATGCAATAGGTCAACTATAAATGGTGTATGGAAATATTTTATGATGTACATGTCAGTCTCACAGGTTTTATTTGACCATGACCTCATTTTCACGGTTCATTTCTCAGTGTTAAGTTTTTGTGTTTTGGTCTGTTTTTCTTCAACTATAAGCAATAGATCAACTATATTTGTTGTATGGAAGGATTGTAAGGTGAATTTGTCTGTCTGGCAGGTATCATCTGACCTTGACCTCATTTTCATGGTTCATTGGTCAATGTTAAGTTTTCATGGTTAAGTTTGTTTCTTAGATACTATAAGCAAAAGGTCAACTATATTTAATGCATACATTGATTGTAAGGTGTACATGTCTGTCTGGCATGGTTCATCTGACCTTGACCTCATTTTCATGGTTCATTGGTTAATGTTAAGTTTTCTTGGTTAAGACTGTTTCTTAGAAACTATAAGCAATAGGTCAACTATGTTTGATTTATTGAATGATTGGAAGGTGTACATGTATTTCTCGTTTGGTTTATCTGACCTTGACCTCATTTTCTTGGATCATGTTAAGTTTATGTGTTACTTGTAGTAAAGCTTTATATTTAGGACTATCAACATAAAATCAATGGTAAGTAAAGAAGGCGAGACATTTCAGCGTGTGCACTCTTATTTTTATACTTTGTGGTCTTTTTGATAGTATCTGACTATCAAGAAAATTCTATCTGAGGAAATATATACAGATGATCCACCATAAATAGCGTCTGAATTTACAACGTTCAAAACGTATGAAAATCGTCCAGTGGACAAACTTGCAAGACATTTCATTTCTTTGAAAAGGAAGTCGTTTTGACTACGCAAATTATCAAAAAGTATGTAGCTGTTTCGTAGAGTTAAAGTACAATTACGGAAAAGCAATATTTAGCATGCAACAAATCTTAATTTTCAATAATAACGTCGCAAATGACAGTTTATTTGTAAAAAGCGGCGAAATCCGACATTGGACATCTTGCAAGACATTTGCCAGAAGCCGTTGCCTTTTTATATGTGGTGTGAGTGCTGCAAAAATTCGATTTTGATATGGTCTATATATGTACTTTTGTAAGCATAATTTACACAAACGAAATTTCATATAATCTTACATTTTGAAACCTATAAATTTTGATAACTTAAGATTTTCCTAAATCTGATCATAATGGACACTTTTTGTTTTTGTCAAAAAATAACGTTGGTTGTTACAGGAACGCATATTCAGTAATATTGTAATACTTTATATATAAAGCATGTCATCCATTCGAATTTTCGCGGATATAACACTGTTTTGAAGAACACAAACACCCCTGCAAAGTTATTATGCGTATAGTGTGTTACGTCTGACACGCATATTTTGTACGTTTTGACAATATGTTGTCCTTATTTTAGACTATTGTAAAATATGATAAAACAGTTTGTAGTTTTTTTTCGGAATAGTTTTTACTAGTCTAGTCTATGGATAAAAAATTTATATAACTTCACTGTTATGATTTTAAAGAAAAGCTGCTTATTAGTGTGGACTGGTTGATTACACGGTATTGACGCAATAACGTGCGTAACGTCATAGTGTATTGTCAAGACTGAACTCAGAAGTTATTTATGAACTTTGATATAGTGGTTGCAATGACCAGGGTGTGGTTCAAAGGGACGCAGCAAGCGTACGTCCTCCCCTGAAAATGAACAAATATCAGTTTTTGGCATGGAAAACGTCACAATTTTTAAGGAGACGTTCTAACGGTTCCTAAATCCACAAATTGGAAACACAACTTTACGTTCATAAACGTTCTGTTATGTAGATGATATCCTCTCACTAAATAATTCAAAGTTTATTGACTTTGTTGAACGCATCTATCCCATTGAACTTGAAATAAAGGACATCACATTAAGTCTGCCGCATATCTTAACTTAAATATAGAAATTTACAATGAGGGTCGGTCGAAAAAAAAACTTGACGACAAAAGGGATGATTCCAGCTTCCAAATTGGGAACTTTCCATTTCTATGTAACAACATTCCAGCAGTGCCTGCATATGGAGTATACATATCCCTGCAATTGATACAAAATTAGAGACTCAGAGCTTGCGTTTCCTATCATGATTTCCTTGATAGAGGGTTGCTGCTTGTAAAGAAGCTATTGAACCAAGGGTTCCTGGTATAGTAAAGTCAAATTCGTCCCTTCGATACCCTAACGGACGTTAACTTAATTATGGAATATCGGTGTAACGATGACCACGAATATGTTCCAATTGTCGCCACCACAATCCCGTTCCTTTTCCTCGATTGTTTTTTCGAGTTTCGGGTTCGTGTTGCTCAATTGTTATTATCTAATGTATTGTTTTGTGGACTTGTTTGCCATTTCGTCATCTTTCGTTTTTTTGCCATCATGGCGTTGTTGGTTTCCCTTATCTTTCGACCATTTTTTCAATCAAAAAAACATTCGTTTGTTAATTTTTGTGTTACCATTAATGTAACTGGAATCAAGAAATCGTATATTTAAATATACAATTCATTGCTGGAGTTAATTAGCTTTAAGTTTATAAAAAGCTTTATATTTTTGTATCTTAATCCTGATACTGTGTTATGGTAGTTTCAGCTTAATCTAAACAAACACTTTTTTTTTCTTTTCATTTTTCATGTAATTGATCATTTTAGAGACGGTAATCAGTAATTGTCTCTTTTTCAGTGTTTCGTTTCATCAAAACTACATAAAGACTGATAAAAATGAAGCATGATGAGTGAATACAACTTGCACCTCATATAACCTTGCCGATGTAATCAAAATATGGAATTGAAAATTTGTCAAACATGCAAACTTCCATGCAACTCAATAGTCCCACCTCAAATGCAAAATTTTGGTCACAAATTGTCTGATAAAATTAACATGACTGGGGACATTATCTCAAAATCATCAATTAAATATTTGGCAAAAGAAGAACTTACAATTATAAAAAGGCTAAACGTAGAGGATGCTAGAACGCTCTATAAAAAGTTACATTATAGACTTAGAGTGTATTTAGACAGTCATTTTATTTTAAGATTTTATAGATAAAACTCCGTTGTTCTTTTTTATCAAGTAATATAATCTTTATCCACTATAATGGGGTGTTAATATTATTATACAAAGAAAAGACTCATCAGTCTGTAATGTTGAACATTTTATTTTTTTTTAAATTTTTTTGTCTCTTTTTTTTTCGTGTTAATTGAAATGCCCTCTGTTGGTTGTATAATTAGGAATAAAGATATTTTTATTTGTTTTTTTTGTACGTGCTGGGTTGCGGATCTTTCAACCCGTTATTGACGTCCCAAAAATTAGAAAAATCAAACTCATGTACGCGTTTCAAATGTAGTAAATTGCTATGAAAGGTGTAAGCTTGAACTGTGTTTATAACACGTGCGAGAAGAGAAACATTCAATCGTTACAATGCCATTTTTCATTAAGAACAGGAAACGAAAGCCAGAAAAGTCACAAAACAAGGTAACATTATTGACCATTGTTTGGAAAAGTCCCCCACATTGGAGAGACGGGATTGTCCTGTATATGTCTTCTAAAAAAATTTATACACAACATAAATATCACCAGGAGTGAGGACTACACGTAACTGCAATCTTTCAAACATCAATAGACACAATAAAATACTACCTGAAGACTGAATCAATGCAAACATATCGTTTGCATTCGAAAAGGGAGACAAACATGCAGCTAGAAATTACAGACCAGTTTCATTGACGTCGGTAACTTGCAAACTACTAGAACTTAGAAGACATTATATGCAAGCACATCTCAAAACATCTTGAAAAGCATAGAGTATTAACTTCACTTAACCATGTATTCAGCTCCGGCTATTCGTTCGAAACACAATTGTTAGTCACCTTACATGACTTAAAATGAATGCATGAATGCTCCGTGTTGAAGGCCGTACCTTGACCTATAATGGTGGTATCGGGTCCGTTCGCACCCAATACACGTTCGCACCCTACACGTTCGCGTCCCACACGATCACCTCCTAGGTTCGTTCGCACCCTACACGTTCGCACCCTTTTTTATATTCAAAGACCTGATAAATTTTTAGATGTTTTGTAGATGTTTATATCAAAATTTTTTTATTTTCATAAATTAAAATTCAGCAATTTTTAAATGAAATATTGTTTTAAATTGATTTGATGATTAATTATTAAATGTTGATTATGTATGATTACTGCTAATTGGTATTTATACACAGCCTAATATGGTGTTATTGTTGAGTGTTTAAAAATCATGATTGTTGTCATGGTTGTTTTAACTTGCTTTAAATGTAAATACTGCATGTATTTAGCTTGGTATGAGTAAAACTTTGAAGATTTTAAATAAAAAACATGAAAGATAGTTGTTTTAACAGCTTGGCTCCTTTGGTCTCATGTGTGTCAGAATCTCACTTTATTCATCATGTTCATAAACAATGAAAAAAAATATTTATAGCAATACACTAACCAAAACATTATTAAGATTTTATCAACACCTAAAAAATCGTTGTCAGAATCTCACTTTATTTAGAAACAATGAAAAAAAATAATTTATATATATATTTAGATAGATATATATAGAGCAATACACTTACCTAAACATGATTAAAAATTATTCAACACAAAAATAAAATACTGGTCGTCAGAATCTCACTTTATTTAAAAACAATGAAAAAAAAATGTTTATAGCAATACATTTTCCATGACACAAAAAAAAACCTTGTCAGAATCTCACTTTATTTAGAAACAATGAAAAAATATATATTTATAGCAATACACTTACCAAAACTTGTTTACAAATTATTTAACACAAAACCAATAAAAATTGGGCGCGAACGTGCATGGGGGCGAACGTGATTGGGCGCGAACGGACCCAGATTCTATAATTTTTTTACTTTTGTGAATTGTGACTTGGATGGAGAGTTGTCTCATTGGCACTCATACCACATCTTCCTATAACTATTTGACAGTTTGAAAACTGTCTACAAACTAATATCCCAAAACTGTCCAGGGTCCTTTTTCCTGTAATACCCAGAAAAACCCCTGGTTGTAGTACATCATCATGCAAGGTTGGCAAAAAAGTGGTCAATACTAGTATTGACCAGGCCGGCGGTAAATACCGGTATTTACTGGGAAATACTGGCAAATACTGGTCAATTGAAATTTTGATAAGATATTACTATTAAATACAGTCCCTACCTGGTCAACTACAGGGTAAATGGACAAATATATTCACAGGACAGAAAGTCACTTATTTACTACATTGTAAAGGACAAAAACTCACAATTAATTAGTTTACAAGTGTTTGAATATGTAAGGGAAAATCCTTGAAATGAATTCATTGTAATGTTTATGAGATTGATAATGAACATGGTTAAATGAAGATTTATTAAATATTAATCCTACAAAGGATATTTCTTGGTACCATGAAGCCAGTCAAGAAAAAGACTATGACAGCTTGTTTTCTTAACAGTAATTTCAGCAAATGTAATAAAACAATGTCTTAAAAATTAGTCTTTTCTTAATTAAAGAAATAGTTCTTTCAAAATTGCATTGTGACTTTCAGTCCTGTGATATTTAGCCCTACATTCAATAACTGTTAGTCATGAAAATATGAAAGTTTTCAAGTCAAAATTAGACTTTTTTAATGTTATCTTTTCTTATATAAATTGAAATTAGACATGAACACATCATGGACAATGATTATTAGAATAAAATTAAAGAAAAAGAAAAACAGCAGCCAAAGTATAGATCCTTCAAAAATTTCCAGTTTCTGTATTTACAGGATTTAGTTTTAGAAGATATTTATCATGCAGTTGAATAGTCAGGAATAAAATAATTGTTTTAAACAGTCTTCAAAAATAACTTTTATGACTTTGTTCCTGTTATGTCAACATTTATTAGGGGACAGTTGTAATATTGAATAAACTTTTGACACCTGCTTGCCATTTAATAGGTAATGCCCTAATAATCTAGTCACCTGTAATTCTATTTACCTGTTAAAATCAAACCTTTTCAAGAAAAAAATATACATATTTTATACATGTTGAAATAACTGATATAGCAATTTTATATTCATACCTAAACTATGTTATATCATTACCCATAAGAACTGAATAAGTCATTATTCATGCTAATAATTGATAAAACATACCAATATCAATCCTTTTTATAAACTTAATCATGCCATATGAATAAAGTTAAAATAATTTCCCCTATCAACTAAGATTTAACTAACATTGATAGTAAAATCTGTCAAAAGAACCATGAAAATTTCAATTGTCCAGTATTTGCCAGTATTGACCACTTGAGGAGTATTGACCAGGGCAGTAAATACCGGTAAATACCACTGGTAAATACCGGGGGTGGTATTTACCGCCCAACCTTGAGTACATGAAGTAGAGGGAGAAGTAAGTGGACACTGGATCCCCACAAGGAACAGTACTTGGACCTTTACTCTTTTTGTATCACTTAAATGACCACCCAGACAGCATCATATCTCCAGTATGGCTATTCACTGATAACTTCGCAGTACAGAACCATCAAACAGAAAAATGACCACAAACTAATGCAAGAAGATCCAGCAAACTTAAAAGATTGGACAACCAACTGGGGAATGCGATTTAATGCAAAAAATGCCACATCCTGAGCATCAAAAACAAATGCTTGAGATTTTAGGGTTCTTAGAAGTACCGCAAACATTGGCAAAGGACCCCTTAGTGCACTAAGAGCAGGATTTTGCACTAGGGAGCAGATGAGATGATATCATTAGCTGAAAGGACATATCCTATATTAGTAGACTATGCTTAAATAGATAATTATAATTTTTATAATCATATTTTTTGTAATTTAATTGTATTATCAACAGTCTGTACGTACGTCCCAAAATTGGTTTCCGTTCTCTAACTTGAGTTTGCCTCAAACAAATGTTATGAAACTTATGAAACTTATACACAATGCTTATTACCACTAAATATCGATCAAGTTTGAATTTTGGTGGCGTCACTTTAACCGTTCTAGAGTTATGCCCCTTTATAAATGGAAAAATTGCAAAAATTTTAGTTTCCGTTCTCTAACTTAAGTTTGCCTCAACCAAATGTTATGAAACTTATACACAATGCTTATTATCACAAAACACAGATCAAGTTTGAATTTTGGGAGGTAAAAAAACATGTCTGAAACAAATTTCTCTGGTTTGCTAATATTTTTATGCCCAACCTAGGGGCATTATGTTTTTCGGTCTGTGCGTCTGTTAAAGTTTTTGGTCAAGGTAGTTTTTGATAAAGTTGAAGTCCAATCAACTTGAAACTTAGTGCACATGTTCCCTATGACATGATCTTTCTAATTTTAATGCCAAATTAGAGTTTTGACCCCAATTTCACGGTCCACTGAACATAGAAAATGATAGTGCGGAGTGGGGCATCAGTGTACTATGGACACATTCTTGTTTAATTAATATGAGTTCAACCTTTCATCTTACTAATTTAACAAAGAAATCAATTGCACAAAGATGTTAAGTAACTGTGCAAGGCCTTCAAAAATTGCTCCCTGAAGGCTTGTAAATGAGCAGTATTTTGAAGATAACAGAAAAATAAGATTTTCATTGTCCATGAAATAATACTTATTTGATTAGTAAAGACATCTGCAAAGGACAGATAATTAAGCACTCTTTTAGAGCAAAGTAGTCAAGAGAAATTCAAGAAAAGAAGAAAATATGACTTTTTTTCTTGTATATAAGTTAAAAAAATCTGAATGTCTAAGGGACATAATTACTATACCATTAAAATAATTTACCTGTACTAGTAAATAAAATACACTTGTTTAAGTATTAACCCTGACTGCAAATAGAGAAAATCTGTCAGCAGCGAAAATGTTCATAATGTTGAGATCTTCCTATTGTACATTATATCAAAACTGTCAGACGACTTCTTATAGGAGTTATTGTCCTTAAATGACAGATTTGACCATTTTTTTTTAGATTTTAGCCTATTATCTTAAAAACTATAATAGAGAGAAATTTTATATAGCAAAAATGATCAACCAGACAAAATCTACAAATAAGTTTACATGGCAGAAATTGTTTGATTACTTCTTATTGGAGTAATTGCCCTTTAATGATATTTTTTACCAATATTTTGCCTAATAAATTAAAGACATATACTGGATAGATAAAAACTTAGATAAGTAAGTAAAAATGATCAGCAAGTCAAGATCTACTAACAAGTCTAATGGCATAAATTGCCGGTCTATTCCTTATTGGAGTATTATCTTTAAAGATGATTTTTACTAATTTTAAGTGTTTTTGTAGATTATCTTGAGAACTATAATAGATAGATAGGCACTTTAAAAAGAAGAAAAAATGATCAGCAAGACAAGATCTACAAATAAGTCAACATGGCCAAAAACATCAATCTATTCCTTATTGCATCCATCCGTTCTCTGAGTCTGTCAGTTCATCGGTCCAGTATCAGGTTA